CCACGGGACAGGATTTCAAGACTCATATCGAATTTTGTTAATAACAAAAGTCCTCGGGATCAGAGGTGGATTTTTTTAAATTACATTTTCCTTTGGAATTGAGGTCGGATTTTACTATAGAAAAACATTACTAAAGGAGCTGTTGTTAGATTTTTTTCTATAGAAAAAAAATCTCAATATTTTTGAGTCTGACGTCAGGTTCTTTTTTTAGAAACAATTAATCTCAGGAACCGCAGTGTTTTTTTTTATGGGAAAAAATATCTCAGTATCTGTGCTGGGTTTTCTGTATAGAAAAAAATCCTCAAACCCGGAGTTGAAATTTTTTTCCATAGAAAAATATTCTTGGGACCGGAGGTGGACTCGTAAAAAACTGAAGGGTGGAAAAAAACTTGTGCTCACTTCTGAGGAGATCATTTTTTTAATGAAATAAGATAGTCATCCTTTGTTCCAGAAGGGAATTTTTTCTACAGAAAATAGTAAGTCCAGACTTTTTTTAAGAAAAAACGCATCCTCGGGTTTTCGGGACTTACCCTTTTCTCAGATCCTTATATTAAAAAAATTAAACCCCTGTTTAAAGGCAGTTTTCCTCGAGAGTATATCATCTTTGTCACAAAGAAAGTTGCCCCTCTCAACGACACCTTTCAGACGTCACCTTGTCCATATGTCAATATTGTTGACTAAAACACAAACTCAACGAAAACCACCAACACCGGCAACAAATGAAAAAATGTGGTTTTGTGCCAGAGGTTTTTTCCTCATCGGCTATTTTTTTTTTTTTTTTTTTTTTGTCATCTGTTTTTAGTTTTCAAAATAAGTTTCAATTTCTAATTTGGTTTCGTTTTCATAAAAAACAAATATTTACCGTTGATTATTGTGTGTATGCGGTGTCATGCATGCGGCTGTCTGTTTGTCTTTTTTGTGGTGAAATTGAAAACCTTTGACATTGAAACTTTTGTCATGCAATGCAAAAAAAAAAAACACAATTTAAATGCATTGGCTGATTTCTGGCATTACGGAAGAAATCTAGGAAATGTTAATTTTTTGAGGGTTGGAGGGGTGAATTCTCTTTATGAGACACTTTGGAGAGCTTTAGAATTTCTCAAAATTCCATTATACAACCCCCTTAACCTTCATTTTCATAAAATTCTATAAATTCGAATAAAAATCAGCCACAGAATTCCGTATTTAAATTCCTGCGGGGATCTGGGTAACATCAAATTTTAAGGAAACGAAAATTTCAAACTTAGAGCCATTTCTGTGAAACTTACCATGATGCGTATACGTGATGTCAATACTAATACGCACCCATTGAAAAGGTGGCATTTGCTAAAATCTGGGTATTTGTAAAGTAAAAAGACCGCATTTTCCACATTAATTGAAAATTATACACCCCTCTATAACTAATTTGATTTCCCAATGGAGGTTGGAAGGAAAAAAGCAAGGATACAACTGTTTGAGAAAGGGGGCAAATAAAAAAGGAGTGATTCTCATTCTAAAACAGTTTGGAGCAGTAAAATTATAAAAAATAATCTTGTTTCTCCAAACTGCCCATGTTGAGAATTACTTAAAATTCGGTTCTCTTTAAATTCCTGAAAATTCGGTTCTCGGACATGAGTGTGTATACATGGTGTCAATACTCATCAAACCACCCATTGCCATTAAATTCGACAACCTCGGATTAAAATTAGTCACTGAAAACCGTATTAAAGTCACAGTGGAGATCTGGATAATATCCAATTTTAATGAAAGCGAAGATTCACCCCAAGAGACAGTTTTGTTAAACTTACCATGGTGCGTATACTTGGTGTCAATACTAATACGCCCTCATCCAAGAAGTCGTATTTCCTGATATTTTAATACATTTAATGAAAACGGACCCCACAATTTCCAACTCTCTTGATATCACAAGAGAATGGAAAGAAATAAGAAAGGTATACAAGTTTGTGAGAAGGAGGTAGGAAGGGAGCGATTCTTGTTATGAAATATGTTTTGGAAGAATATTATTCCCCAAAAATGTTGTTTTCCCAAACAAGCCACGCTATGAATTCAACAATTTTATCAGTGGGATCTCAAGCCTTTCCAATGAAAATCCAGATTCCAGTAAATTGACCATGGTGCGTATACATGGTGTCAACACTCCTACGCACCCATTTACAAAACCACTTTTGCTTGATGCGTTTCCACGTCAGGGTAGAAAATGACACTAAATTGATTCTAAATTTAACTTATCAAGAATTTTTCCATCTGAAAATATAAAATTCCAAAGAGTCCCATCAAAACTTCTTTTAATATTTATAATTCGTTGTTTCCTTGAATTGCAATTGAAATTTATGTCATTTATTTTACCTGCAATCCATTGCTATCTGCTGTTAACTTTTTCCCTTTTAATTTGTCCCCAAAAGTTTTTAATGTCATTGGAAAAAAACTAAGAAACAGTTAGTGTCAATTTTAAACAACCCTGGTTAATTGCAAAACTTTCCGAACGAAGAATAAAAAAAAACTTTGCCTCAATATAACAAATAAGCTCGACATTGACATATTGCAAATATTTGTCGTTTAGTTTTTAATTGGGGGAAAATGAATTGAAAATGATAAAATACACATTTTGAAAATTTAGACAAAAAAATCTCCTTAGGAGCTGAAGATGGGGTTTTTTGATAGAAAAAATTCTCCTCAGGAACTGAGGATGGGTTTTTTTCTTAGAAAAAATTCTCTTCAGGAACTTAGATTGGGTTTTCGACAGAAAAAATTCATTTCAGGAACTGAGATGATTTTTTTCCGATAGAAAAAATTCTCTCAAAAGCTGAGGATGGAGGTTTTTTTGCTAGAAAAAAATTCGCCTCAGGAACTGAGAATGGGTCTTTTTCTATAGACAAAATTCTCTTTAGGTTTTTTTTTGGGTTTTTTCCGATAAAAAAAATTCTTCTCAGAAATCGAGGATGGTTTTTTTGATAGAAAAAAAATCGCCTCTAGAACTGAGAAGGGTTTTTTTGCAAAAAAAAAAAAAAATATCCTCAAGAATTGAGAATGGGTTTTTCCGATAGAAAAAATTCTCTTAAGAAATCGAGGATGGGTTTTTTGATAGAAAAAATTCGCCTCAGGAACTGAGTGTGGGTCTTGTTCGATAGAAAAAATTCTCTCCAGGAACTGAGGATGGGATTTTTTGAGAGAAAAAATTCCCCTCAAGAACTGAAGAAAATAGAAAAAATGCTCCTCGGGAACAGAGATTAGGTTTTTTCCCATAGAAAAAACTCTCCTCAGAAATCGAGGATGGGTTTTTTGATAGAAAAAAATCGCCTCTGAAACTGAGGAGGGGTTTTTTTTCAGGAATTGAGGATGGGTTTTTCCGATAGAAAAAATTCTCCTTAGGAACTGAGGATAGGTTTTTTCGATAAAAAAAATTCTCCTCAGGATGGATTTCTTCGATAGAAAAAATTCTCCTCAGGAACTGAGGATAGGTTTTTCCGATAAAAAAACATTTCCTCAGGAACTGACGATAGGTTTTTCCGATAGGAAAAATTCACTTCAGGAGCTGAGGTGAGAATTCTCTTTATAGGTAATCCTCGACCTCAGCTTCTTAAGAGAATTTTTTCATTTCGTTTTCTGCAAAAATGTTCCGTTTTTAGGACTTTTTTGTAAAGGAGTTTTTATTTTTGGCTATCTCTTCCTAAGTCTTGTAACAGATTCGTTTTGCCTTTCAGCTGCTTGCTTGGGATTGTTTTGGAAAAACATGAAATATGTTCATAAAAAAGACCTGAAAGACATTTGAAGAAACTTGTAGCAGTTAAGTCAACAATTTGCCGTTGCTGTCATGTTTCTGCTTCGTCTATCTTTCTCCTCCTCCACCTCCCTCATCCGTAACTTGCCATAATTCAGTAGAGGCAACAACATCAGTGTTGTAAATAATCCCTTTAAGGATGTTGTTTTCATGTTTACTTTGGCTTTATTTTCTACATTTTTCTTCATGGTGGTGTCTGTGTGTGTGTGTTAAAGAGAAGTGTAAAACACATTTTCTAGTAGTTATCCCCCGCTTCTCCTCCGCCCATATTTTGCTATTGTTTTTTATTGTGGCTAAGGGTTTTTGAATAACCAGCAAAAAAGGAAGTAAAGTTTATCTAGGTCCTACAGCAAGTAATGGCAGATGGGGGAAGGGTTGTGGGAGGAAGAAGCGAGAGGGCAATTTTGAGTTGGCACACGTTTGGTTCGAAATGGTGGAGGAATAGGGGTTCGGGGTAAACCATTCAGGTAGAAACGCATTGTTTGCCACAGAGGATTTTCCGTACGATTAGGAAGGGGTTTTGTTTTGAGGTGTTGTTGCTGCTGTTGTTGTTGTACCTCCAGTCACGTTTAACCAAACATTACTTTTGCAGAATTGTTGTCTTTCACACCTAGATTTGTCATGCATTTAAATGTTCGCCACAAATACAAACCCTCATACACACATTCAGACTCAGTCTCAGACTCACACACTCACAACTTAGTCCTTTGGAGGAAAAAAAAAAAAAAAACGAGAATTTGTCACCAAATTGTTGTTTGTGGATTATTGCTTTCTGTCTTTGTTGTTGTTGTTGTTTTTGTTGGTTGCACTTATTGTTGCTGTTCAAGTGCCAGTGTAACACTTAAGTACTTGAGTGGGTCGTTGTTGCAATGCTTTGTTGTACCCTCATCATCAGCTCAGATGTTGTTTGTTATCCTTGCCAGGAAACGAACTACTCGGCAGGCAGGCAAGCAAGCGACTGACAACGGCAACAAAAAACAATGTGTTGCCTGGTAGATATCCTGTTAAAATAATAACCCAGGCAGCCGACCCAAAAAGGTTGTTGCACGCCAAACAAAAACAACAGCAGCAGCAACAACAATTCATAGTTCCTTCATTGGTCTGTTTTACAGGATTTTGAAATAATTTCCAGTTACTTCCTAGCAGTCTCTTTAAAGGATATTTTTCATTTTTTTCGGTTATTTTTAAAATAATAACAACAACAATAAAATTGTCTACTTACAACTGTAATCGGGTAGAATGGATTTATGATGGTGAAGAGCAAAATGTGATTTGGCCTTGTGGATTCGGGGCGCTTTCTTCTCAGATCATCATTCGATTTATTCATCAAGGGCTGTTGTTGGCTTTGAGTGGTTGTCTGGAAAAAAAGAAAACGAAGAGAAAAAGGAAAAATATTATTAATTGGGTAATAAAAAAAAAAACTATCGACTATTTCTAAACTATTTCAGAGGTTATGGGAGAAAGGGTAAAACCATCCTGAGGATGGATTTTTCCCATAGAAAAAATATTCCTCAGGAACAGTGGTAGGTTTTTCCTTCAGAAAAAAAATTTCTCAGGAACTGAGAATGGATTTTTTCCATAGAACAAATTATCTTCAGGAACTGAGGATGGATTTTTTCCATAGAAAAAATTTCGCCTCAGGAACTGAGGATGGATTTTTTCCACAGAAAAAATTTCGCCTCAGGAACTGAGGATGGATTTTTTCCATAGAAAAAATTTCGCCTCAGGAACTGAGGATGGATTTTTTCCATAGAAAAAATTTCGCCTCAGGAAATGAGAATAAAATTCTCCTCAGGAACTGAGGATGGATTTTTTCCATAGAACTGAGGATGGATTTTTTCCATAGAAAAAATTCTCCTCAGGAACTGAGGATGGATTTTTTCCATAGAAAAAATTCTCCTCAGGAACTGAGGATGGATTTTTTCCATAGAAAAAATTCTCCTCAGGAACTGAGGATGGATTTTTTCCATAGAAAAAATTCTCCTCAGGAACTGAGGATGGATTTTTTCCATAGAAAAAATTCTCCTCAGGAACTGAGGATGGATTTTTTCCATAGAAAAAATTCTCCTCAGGAACTGAGGATGGATTTTTTCCATAGAAAAAATTCTCCTCAGGAACTGAGGATGGATTTTTTCCATAGAAAAAATTCTCCTCAGGAACTGAGGATGGATTTTTTCCATAGAAAAAATTCTCCTCAGGAACTGAGGATGGATTTTTTCCATAGAAAAAATTCTCCTCAGGAACTGAGGATGGATTTTTTCCATAGAAAAAATTCTCCTCAGGAACTGAGGATGGATTTTTTCCATAGAAAAAATTCTCCTCAGGAACTGAGGATGGATTTTTTCCATAGAAAAAATTCTCCTCAGGACCTGAGTATGGATTTTTTCTATAGATAAAATTCTCCTCAGGAACTGAGGATGGATTTTTTCCATAGAAAAAATTCTCCTCAGGACCTGAGTATGGATTTTTTCCATAGAAAAAATTCCACCTCAGGAACTGAGGATGAATTTTTTCCATAGAAAAAAATTCTCCTCAGGAACTAAGGATGGATTTTTTCCGATAGAAAAAATTCTGCTCAGGAACTGAGGATGGATTTTTTCCGATAGAAAAAATTCTGCTCAGGAACTGAGGATGGATTTTTTCCGATAGAAAAAATTTCGCCTCAGGAACTGAGGATGGATTTTTTCGATAGAAAAAATTATCCTCAGGAACTGAGGATGGATTTTTTCCATAGAAAAAATTTCGCGTCAGGAACTTAGGATGGGTTTTTTTCGATAGAAAAAATTCTCCCCAGGAACTGAGGATGGGTTTTTTTCGGTAGAAAAAATTCTCCTCAGGAACTGAGTATGGGTTTTTTCGATAGAAAAAATTCTCCTCAGGAACTGAGGATGGATTTTTTTCCGATAAAAAAAATTCTCCTCAGGAACTGAGGATGGATTTTTTCCGATAGAAAAAATTCTCCTCAGGAACTGAGGGTGGGTTTTTTCGATAGAAAACCCCACTTCAGTTAACTGAATTTTTGGTAAAACCCACCTCTGAATAATTCCTGAGTGGAAGTTTTTCTACAAAAAACATAAAAATAACAAAGTTTCGTGTGACCCCACGTTGGGCGCCAGCAAGCACATCTGTGCGTTATGAACGAGAACTTCAAAAGTATATATCATTTTTATAAATAAATATAATTTTTAGGAGAAAAAGTAACAAAATATCTACATTTTGTGTATATTCCTGGGAAATGGACAGGACAGGTTTATTTTGAGAACAATTTAGGGTAGTATAATTAATTTGACGATTTGATTCGACGAATTAAAAACAAAAAGCATGTATCTCTCAACTTTGCAGTGGACGCACGATGGGCGCCAATAGGGAAATATATTAAACATGTCTGATTAATGACCTGATTTTTATATTTTTAATTTATTTAGGGAAGCCTCAGGGTCGAAGATGGGTTTATATGAAAATAAAACCGCCACTGGAACCGTCCTAAGTCGGGTTTGTCTATTAAAAAAAATCTCCTCAGGAAAAACATTTTTTCAGGAATTGAAAAAAATCTCCTTAGTAAATGGGGGCTCCGACAGATCCTAAAGAGAAAAATTCCCAAGTCAATTTGTTTCCAAGTTTCTCACTTTTATAATTCCTATAACTGACGAGGAAAGTCATTAAAAAGTCACGTCCGTTAACTTAACTCAAAAAAGGAAAATGGCTGTCTATTATTTGCTCAAATGTTGGCAATAAAAGATGATTTTCTCTCCACTGCGAGTTGTTTTTCCTCATTTTCTTTTATAAATCAACTTTAATTATCATTTATTAAAACTTGGCAAAGTGTGCCATTAAATATCGTGGGGTCAATGAGATGAGGAGAGAGGGTAAGAAGAATAGAACCAAGTAACAAAGTAATTCTTCGTACCACTCATAGGAATGGGAGAGGAAAGAAGAGAGAGAGAAAAAAACAGTTCTACAAATTTCATTTAGGAAAAAAATAGGCAGCGGGGTAAGAAAAGAAAAAAAATACCACCACCACTTGGTCATAAATCAAAAATGTTTATAATCCGTTAATAGGCCATTACAATAACTGACAAAACATTACCAAACTTGGTCTGATCCGGAGGAACTAACAACGAGAGAAGAAAATTGAAACAACAAAAGGTGTCATAACTCAATTACTTTTTTTCACCATTGACCCTTCTCCTGCCACCCTCTCCAATCTTTTCGCCCTCCGCTCCTTCATAAGTTAACAGCGAAAGGGTCATTTGTGTTTCCAGCTAACATTAAGTTCATTGCCGGTCATCAGCAAAAACAACAACATCGAAATTAAGTGTCTTTGCAGGCCAACACATCATAAAAACGTGCTGGCTGGCAAATGACATTCTATGCCAGACCCCCAAACTCAAGCTGACGACCAACAATGACGGCTGGCCCAGCGAGTCGCTGAGCAGGAAAATCTCTTCCAGAAATAAAACATTAATTAGTCGATTACCGGAATCATGACTCTCCACATTCTAGTGCCTGACAAACAGGGAAAAAGAGAAAGGGTTCGCAGGGCTCTCTAATGAGGCCACAGCCCAAAAAACCCAACTGCAGCTGTTCTTGGTTTGCTTTCCACAATGACTTGGCTCTTAAGGTAAAGTTCGCAATAATGACCAGCCAAGCAGTCAGGCGCAATGTGCTCTGACCAACACTAACAAAAAGGTCATGATTTTTTCTGTTTCTTTTCTTTTTTTATTTTTCTTTCATTCTTTCTTTCGGCCTTTCTACACAAAAACAGACTTCACATATTTCTTTTTGGTAATAATTTTCTTTATTTTTTAAACGTTTGTTTGCATTTGATTTATGATGGCTGGAGCGAGTGGAGCGTCGGCTGCTGCTGCCATTGCCTCCAGCAATTTTTTTTCGGTGGGAATTTCTGAGATTTTAGGGAGTTAATGGGAGGGAGGGGCCAGTCCCAGATTGTTGTTATTGTTGTCGGGCACTCATGATAATTATGATAATGACAGCATTAAAATCGTAAACGGAAGTTAATTAAATGCCAGGCAATTTGTTTTGGCCACAAGTGTTGTAATTTGGTTGGAGAGAAAGAGAATGGAAAGAGAGGAAAAAATCTGCTTCATTTTCGGAGATTAACTTTTCGAGAGAAAAAACCCTCCTCAGTAACTGAGGAGAATTTTTTGCATAGAAAAACCCCATCCTCAGTTCCTGGGGATATTTTTTTCCAGCTAAAAACCCCATCCCATCCTCAGTTCCTGAGGAGAATTTGTTCTATCGGAAAAACCATCCTCAGTTCCTGAGGAGAATTTTTCTGTAGAAAAAAAAACACCTCAGTAACTGTGGAGAATTTTTTCCAACGAAAAAACCAATCCTTAGTTCCTGAGGAGAATTTTTTTCTATCGGAAAAAAACCCATCCTGAGTTCCTTAGGAGAATTTTTTCTATCGGAAAAACCCATCTTCAGTTCCTGAGGAGAATTTTTTCTATCGGAAAAAAACCCATCCTCAGTTCCTGAAGAGAATTTTTTTCTATAGGAAAAAACCCATCCTCAGTTCCTGAGGAGAATTTTTGTCTATCGGAAAAAACCCATCCTCAGTTCCTGAGGAGAATTTTTTCTATCGGAAAAAACCCATCCTCAGTTCCTGAGGAGAATTTTTTCTAGCGAAAAAAAAACCATCCTCAGTTCCTGAGGAGAATTTTTTCTAGCGAAAAAAAAACCCATCCTCAGTTCCTGAGGAGAATTTTTTCTATCAGAAAAAAAACCAATCTTCAGTTCCTGAGGAGAATTTTTTCTATAGAAAAAACCCATCCTCAGTTCCTATGAAAAAAATTAGGCTTAGTCTCAAGTCTTTTACTTTAACTTAAGGCACAAAATGTTGTTACTTTCGCTACTTATTCCCCTTCCCCCTTTCAGTTTCCCTCCACAAAAATTCCCCAGCAATTTTGTAGACGAACAACTTGTCGAAATAATTACACATAACCCTAGCCAAAGCACACAGCGTTTATTACAGGTCATAAAGGTGGGCTGGTTGTAGTTTTAATGTTGGGGCCAAGATCGTGTTGCTGGAAAAAGACTAGCAGCAGAAGCAGTTTTGTCAACGATTTTTAAAGTACGCAGTCAGTCACCTTGTGTGGCCTCACCTATTTTTTTTTTTTTTTTTTTTTGGCCTCTGCACTTCTCACAAGTGCTCAGCAATTAAACAGATATTCAGTTTTCTCTACCCGGCTGAACAAGATGATATTGACGCAAATACTGTTCGTCAAATTGGACGACAGACAGCGTTTGAGTGTTGTTCTACATTCCTTCGCATGTTTTATTTGATTTTTTTTTTCGAAAATGGAATTTCTAATGAGAAAATTTACAGGTGTTGTT